TGCGATTTAAACTGTGTCGGTGAATGATCGCACGGAAATAAAACGTCGCCTCTCCCCCTTCTCTCTCTCTCTCTCTCTCTCTCTCTCTCTCTCACACACATAATGAGGTGAAAATAGATTCACTGGAAACGTCGTATTTTTTGAAGTGTGTCTGAGGCCTTCTAATCTTTAAGACGCGACAGTTAAAATCGGAAAATCGATATAATTGTCACCAAATAGAATTATCGTAGCGTATCATACATAAAGTTATTGAAACTTCTCTCCAGATTTTATAAAGAACGTATGATGTTATTAGTTCTTTAATTATCAAAATTGATTATCTCAAAAACAAAATTTCGAAGATACTTTTTTATTAATTTGCACATGACATTAATTTTGTCTCTTCTACATAATATAATACGACATTGCTATACAGGATATTTATAAAGTCTGATCCAGATTCTATATCTCGGAAATGGCTGTAGATATAGAAAAATATTTCATAGGAAAGTTGTAGGATATAACGATATTAAGAGATATATGGCGAAAATAAGGATTTGACCTTGAGTGATCTTCTCAAGGCTAGGTCAATGTTATTCAGGTTCATGATCTGGATAACATTTGTCAAGACCATGGCCATTGGCAGTTGTTCACTTTTTACGGTAAAAATTCATTTAAAAATGACAACAAAGGAACAACCTCCAATAATCTTGATCTTAACAAATGTTATCCAGGTTATGATCTTGAACTTTAAGAGATTTTCTAACCGTCGATCGGACACGTTAGGTAACGCCAGTGATACTGTAACATTCAAGCCTTGTAACTCGAAAAGTAGAAGAAAGTCGATATCGACGTATCACTTTGCTTTTAGACAATATTTCTTAAACAAAAGATAAAAATAAAACTTTAAAAACACAGATAAGTACAAACTAAAAAGTGTTCTATCAGATAGTATGAGCAGTTTTTATAATAATGTTTGCAATTTTGCAATAATTAATTTTTTTGTAAGATAAGTAAAAATGACCATCTTGCTCAAAAATTGACATAACAGTAGATAGTAATGCTACGTATTCCTATTCTTTTTCTTTTATAGGAATTATCTGTATAGATTACCTATACAAATGAATGTATATAAGATTTTCCAGAATCATTTTACTTCGTTACAAAGCGTTTTTATTAAATTACATGCATATTTACTTTATGCTGTTCTGCAAGATGCAAATATGTAATGCGATAGTTTTTCAAGAATATTCCCATATATAAGCGATTGCCTTCAGCTCCAATAGAGCTATTTGATACTATAAAGTAACATTATAAAGATTAAATTAGCTCATGATCTGTTTTACAGACAGTGTGGCGGTTTACGCTGCATTCCAATTTTATATTCAAATCGTATTATGAAAAAACTAAGAGAAAAAAAAATTATATAAATAAAACTGATTTAGAAAACTACAAGCATTTAAAACGACGTGTATTATCAATAATATAGTCACTATTATTTAAACTACGCAATTTGCAAAAAGAAAATCGTAAAAATTTTATTTTCACATTCGTATTAGAATTTGTTTTTAGCTGATTTAATATAGAAACAAGTCACAAATATACGAATTATGAGTTTGTACTTCTTTAATTAGCTAAACAGATCATGATTTTATTGGTATTAATAAAGTGCAACAATTAAGTTTTTGAGAAATAAGGAGGTGTCGTTTTAAGAGATCTATGTCGATATCGACGACTTTCCTCCTACTAATTAAAAAAGGCTTCATTGTAATGTTTTGAAAAGCTTTTGATATAAGCTACAAAAATATACAATAAAAAATGGGAGGTTCTATTTAAGAAAATATTAGTCACATTGACCTAGCTTTGAGAAGGTCATTCAAGTCAAGTCCGTATTTTTATCATGTCTCCCTTAATATCCTTTCGTATAAAACTCTTCCATATCTACAACTGTTTCCGAGATATAGGGGCTGGGTTAGACTTTATAGACATTGTATATATACTATTAAGCGATATATCTAATCTATTAAATTGATATCGTTAAATCCCTCGCAAAGAACATGGTTTTATTACAATGGAATCATCAATTGGGAAACGCACCTTAATTTTTCATTTTTAATAATTCCGTCGATAAAAAATGCGTGGAATAAAACATTATTGCTTAGCATTATTGCTGGCATCTGCAAACACTTGAATTAACTCGCAATTTACCGCAAATAAGATAAAGAAGTGCTCGCAACAACGGATTCTAAGCCTGTGGCAAATTTTTTGCTGTAGGTCCTATAGAAGTTGTTCACTTTTCTACTGATTAATTTTATCTGATTTATATATTTCTTTTGTCTCAATGTCTCAATTATAAACGCACATGCAGAAATAAACTTGCGCGAACAATTTGCAGCAGTCCCATAGTTGACTCTCTAAGGTCCAATGTTGTATACATATTTATAAGTTTACTGTAAAATTAAATTTGGAATAAATTCGGGATCTGTGCAGATTAGTTATACCTATTTAAGAACTGAAGATGGAAATGTATGTATTGAAATATATTAATGGTACTTCTAATCAAAAAGGCTATACGTCAATATGTGCATCGATAGTGTAGATATCGATAAATTCTTTATTTATAAATCATTTTTTTAGCAAAAGCAACAAAAAAATTGTTTTTTAATTACGATACCGTTTCTAGTCGCGAAAATAACACATAG